TATGCTGTATTGATTTTTCCCATACACCTACTAGTTAGTTAAGTTATAGCTTGTGTTTTATTCTTTTCATCAGCCAGAACTAATGTTCTGGAATAAATAAGCCACAGTCAAGTTTGCCTCTTTTCATCCATGTGTCCATTTTTTATTGTATGTGTAAACAAAAATTATTGAAAGCATGTAAAGTGTTTGAGTAATCTGTTTCTTTTTGCCAACTTAAAAGCACCTCCTATTTAGGTCCACCTTCTTGGTGTACAGTCAGAGACTGTAGCCCATCTGTTGCCATGCATCAGTGGTCAGGTTTTAACCACAGAGCCATTCCTGGCTGGATATTTTTGGGTGGTGGACAAGTCTCAACCTAGCAGTGACCCTGATGTATGTAAAAACTCCCAAAAATTCAAACATTCAGCATGATCTTTTTTAAAGGCATTTTCACTGTGCACAATACGTCTAATGATATTTCCTTTTTCTGAAAGATGCAAAGAAGTTTGAAAGGGCATAATCCTTTTTTTAATTCAACATTTGCAAAAAAAAGGATTAATCACTCTTAAGTGTTTCTAATAAAGCAGGCAATGCGTGTGCTGTACTTTTTTCCCAGATGAGCTTAACATTTCACTACTGATGTGGGCAGAACATTTGTTTTTCTGGGGAGGCCCACTGAGTGCATCGTGTTTTGTTTCTGGATGTGCGGAGGGGACACAGGGATGCCATGCTGCACAAGCCCTGGAGCAACTTAAGGTTAAGTAAGGTGCATTGCTCAAGGCCACAGTGGCAGTGATCGGAGGAAAGGACACTTGAATGAAGCTTATCCCCAGTGCCCAGTCAGGGATGGAAGCAGGGAACCTTCTGCTTTACTGCAAGCTCTATTGAGAAGCTTAGCGAGCCACTTCCATTCAGAGTACAGATCTGAGCTGAGATATTCCAAATCAGTCCTGAGAGAGAGGACCTATCGCAGAGCAGATTTCTGATTGTTATGATCCCACAAAACCGATTCTAGATCAGCTCTCCTACTCCTGAAGTGGTTGGTGAATTCAGAGCCTGGTTCCTTATGCCAAGGTTTGGATAAGAGGAAAGCTGTTAGACTGACCAACGAGCAGGCTGTTGCGTTGTTGGTTTTGATTAAAAATAACACTGTTTCATTGTACCTCCTCAGAGAGCCCAGAGCAGGGAGATCACCATGGCAACAACAGCTTGTCTTTGAGCTAATCGATGTGTACTCTTCAAGGGCCAATCCTAGTATTGAAAGAGAGGGACTTTACAATGTTGACATTGCGGTCGTTTGAACGCAGTATCAAAAAAAATAAATACTGAAGGTGAAATGAAATGAAAAGATGAATGAAAAATGAAGATATTGGAAGGTTGAACTTTGGGTATAGCTAGCGCAATAAGTAAATATACATTTCTGTAGAGTTTGCATGTAAGAGGATCAGTAGAAATAAGGTCCACTGGCCTGAAGACCATCTAATTGCCTGTTAGAAGTCACACTAACACAAGGGGGCATACTAAGATAGGGGCATGGCTGACACCTTTTTGTTTGTGTGTGTATGTGTCAGTCATGTCCATGTCGTTGTCAACCTGCACTGATAACCTTTAAAAGTCAAATATTGACCCAAATCATTGGCCATTTTGATGTATTAGCCAACGACTGCTTTGAACTCTGCCTTAGATACTGGGTTGACAAGATTTTATGTGTTATGATGTGATGTAACTCTTGTGAATTGGGATTAGAGAACAAGATAACATGAAAAGCCTTTGCAGTTCATTATTTCTAAACCCTCTAATTTCCCTGTGAGTTAATTGTCTGTGTTGGGATTAGCTTTGTGCTGTTTGTTTTGTGGTCACCCTTTGCTCTCGTTCAACAGGATGGGGTCATCATCAAAAGGCGGGTGGGGATCATGCATGACAGTCTTCTATGACAGGAAATAAGCATTTCAGAGAGTGACAAAAATGCAGGAAGCACACTTTTTTAACCTCGGTCGATTAAGGGGGCCTTTTTTCAAAGGAGAGTTGATAAGTCCATGGGAACATTGTCTGTGTCCCCCTCTGTCTCTTTCTCTCTTTCTGTCTGTGGTGACTTTTTTCTGGGTCATGGGGAAAAAGCGGTGCTCTGATTCATTGGTAGCGACTGAATTATTGATGGCCAGTGGCTGCAGTTAAACTCTGTCCGCTGGTGGAGGTTGGCTTAGAATGACTCTTCTGAAAAACAGGTAGCACTATTTCTGGCTTCTGTACTTACTCTGTTGGGGAGCTGCAATTGCTGTCGTGAACCAATGCAGGAAGGCTTTGACAAAGAAGGTGCTTTCGTACTGATACTTTAACCGTAGTGAGGAACCACTGGGCCTTGTTTTTTTCATCTTAGAGAAATAAAATCCAAAGAATGGTTTATGCACCCAGTATTATTTGAAGTATATTACAAATTCAGTCCAACACATCTTAAATAGTGCTGTGGGAACAGCACTGTGCAAAAGTCAGAGACCACACTTCTTCCTTCTAGTCAGTTTCGCAATATATGTATGTTTTAAAACAGTCGTTAAGTACAAGTTATTTGTTTCTCATGAGATATTTCTGAGGTGGTTGGATATAAGATAATCTGCTTGCATAAGGAAGGGGAAAGTCAAAGGAGAAAAAGAGAAAAAGAAGTGTTTCCGAAACAAGATATCAAATAATGTAGAGAAAATGGAAGTCGTAACAAGCATGCAAGACCTTGTAGACCACCAAGTCTGTCACCATCAGATACTTCTTAACAGCTTTCATCTTTAAGAGAAAGGAGAAAATCAAGCTCAATTCTAGCTTCAGGTGTGAAAAAGTCCACAGATGTTTCTGTCCATCCTTCCACTGTGAGAAGACAACTCAGCACTACAGTCTGGAAGGATGTGTAGCTGTCAAGATGCCCTTACTGAGAAATGGACCTCAAACAAAGAACACACTGATATTCTCAGAACAGTGGACCCCAAAGTCCAGACCTTAACATCAATGAATGTTTCTGGGATTGTGGTCGTGAGAAACAGAAAACGCAACCAACTTCTGAGACTGAACTTTGGAGATGTAGAAAAATATCCCTGCAGATTTCTTTGAAGATCTGAAAAGAGTCTCCTGAAAAGAGTGGAAGCTGTAATAATGGCAAAGAGTGGACACACTAAATACTGGAGAGTACATTGTAATATAATAAAAGCATGCATAAATGAAACATGGTCTCGAATCTTTGCATAGTACTGTATATCTTTAATTTAGATCACCTAAAAAAAATGTTCAATACACAGAATAGTACACAATCTCTTGAAGAGAGAACGTTTTCTGGAAGAAAGAAAAACAGTGATTTTCTACATTTTCAGACGTAATGCTGTTGCGTGCAGAAGGTTGATGCAATGTTTAATCCTACTGTGATTTTGCATAAAGGCAATTCTCAAGCCTCTTCTAGGCCTCCCAGTGGTACAAACACTGAAGTTTCGTGTAGTTTTTCCACAGAAAAATATCCTCAAAAGCTGAACAGAATGTGTTTGGATGTTGAATCAGATTTTTGAGTTTGCCATCATCTCGTCTAGTGTTGCACACAATAAGGAAAATACAGTTTTAAGAGTGTTACCAAGCACTGGACTTCTTACATCTCCTGATAGTTACATTGTGTTCTGGACTGAAAGGTTTTATATAATGGCAGCCAGATGTTTTCCCTAATAAATCGCGCTCTCACAGAGGCGGCTCTGTCGGCCCACTGATGTAATTGCCTGGACTTCAGTCTCTGTGTAATTCACCCAGCGCTCACAGAGCTTCAGAATTTGCAGTCAGTGTGCAGGTCCTGTACATGTTTGGGCTAGTAGTGTTATGCTTTGGTGGATGCTTCTAATGTGGCGGGTCTGCGTTCTGTTCCAATATAGCAAGTAAGTTTACTGAGGGAAATGCCACTTTTTGGAATGTCTCAAAAGACCTGGGTAGCTGCAAGAGCACTGGCAGAGAGCTGCAGGGAAAAGGGAGGCAGCACAGGAAGAATGTGGAAACATAAGCCCTCACAGTGACGGGCAACGTTTCATTCTAAAGCATTTTACTCTTACTATTACTCCACAATGTTTTCTTTCCTTCTTCCTATATTTTTCATGTATCACCAATTATGAATCTGTAGGTTTCACAACTCAAAAACTCCCAAGTAGCTAAACCAATTATATTACAGAAAATATAGTATCAAGTAACACAGTAGTGACTGTGGTGTACAAGGCGGTCAAAATAAGTCAACATTTTGCTTTTTGAAGATTGCATGTCTTGACAACAACATGATTGACCTGAATTTGCTGTTTTATGTGTGGTTAAACTGGTTACACTGTGTGGGAGTTTTTAAAACTGATTTGCTAGAGCTTGAGAACATTCCAAAAGTTGCAGTATATTTAGGTAGATCTCCAAAGTAACATCATAATCCTATTGACAAAAATGAGTGCTAATAATGTCCAGCTGCCTTAATATGCATGTAATGCTCATATTAGCAATAATAGCAAAATAATAGCATAATAACAAAATAAAAAGTTCCAATTTGGAATATTATAATAAGAATAAGTTGTTTAGATGATGAACAGCTTCCTGACTAAATTGATTTACTTAAAACTGGAGTTTGGTTGAACTGGGAGTCGGCAGTTTGGTGGTATTTATTGTTATTGTGATAACGTCCGCCACCACAGGCTTTCCTGATCATATCCTGGATATGGTCTGTACTTAAACAGCACTGACAGACATGTTTTATTACAAAGAGTACATGTTCCTGTTTAATTACATAAATTCTGTGTATTATGTGAAACATTAGTTTATTGATAACATCAGTTTTTGATAATGTTTTTTAGAAATAGCACTGCTGGTGCTTTTTTGTGTATTCCAATATATCAAACCTCAGAAAAACTAAATATCAAAATGCATATTGTGTGTATATTTACAATATCGCCCACTCCTAGGTTGAACTGGCTTTAATGAAGTATATTACCTTTGTTTTTTAACATCAGCACTATTCTTTGTTGTCCGTGCTGTAGTGGCACTGGGGCGTAACCAGCCCCTGAAGCGAGAGAAGCCCAAATGGAAGAGTGACTACCCAATGACAGACGGACAGCTGCGGAGCAAACGTGATGAATTCTGGGATACAGCGCCTGCCTTTGAGGGCCGCAAGGAAATCTGGGATGCGCTCAAGGCTGCTGCCCAGGCTTTCGAGAGCAACGATCATGAGCTTGCTCAAGCTATCATTGACGGGGCCAGCATAACTCTTCCTCACGGTAAAGAAACCTTTAAGTGCAAATAACCTTTTAATTATTGGAATTACCTTCAAATCGGTCATATTCAAACTACATTACGGTTTTGTGTCTTTTGTTTTTTTTTTTGTTTGTTTTTTTTGATAAGTGCATAGCAGTGAACACTGAAATGATATCTTTTTTTTGTGGACAGCAAACTGCTTTTATAGTGTTGGGAACACACTGATTTTATGTTGCTTTTGATTTTATGTTGCACTGTTTTTTTTAACACCGGTTTTAAAACAGGCTAATCCCCTCATAAGTTAGTAGAACTCAGTGTGTTGCTTTAATATTTTTAAGTTCATAAATTCAAAAATCAGAAAAATCATTCAAGTGTCATTAAATCTTTCATGGACAGTTCTTATTACTTAAAAATGCAGATAGGACTGTACTGAATCAAAAGTTACCAGTTCCATAAACTTAAAATGAAGAAAATGTTAAACATGCTCAATATATTTACGTTATGAAATATAATAAATTCATTAAACTTTACCCTTTTTAAGAAGCATGGCACATTTTTGCCAAAAGCATTTGGCCTTAAAACAATTACTTGAATAAAATAAGCCATAAAATTGCATCAAATTCAAAATTTGTTTATGTTTACTAAAACAATTAAGTTGGTAGGCCAAAACATTAAAAGTCATTTCTTTGTACTTTTGACAGTTAAATGAAAGTTTAAGAGAATTAACAAATCACAGATTTTTGTTTTTATTGTACTTTATGAAATGTTCCAACTTATTTCAGAAATGGGCTTTGTACTTTTAAAAGTACATATATTATGTTAATATACTATTTAGTAGAAATGTAAAAAAAAAACATAATCTGAGGGTATTCAACATATTCTAAGAGCACTTCAGATTTTTGGTCTTTATATATATTTTGCATTAATCCTTAATCCTGTAGGAAAAAACAGTCACAACCAGCAAGTGCCTTTGCCCAACAGAGGGCGCTCTATGCAGTTGCCATTCTTGTGTGGAGCCGCTCATAATTTTAGTTGTCTTTCAGAGGTGGACTATACAGACCTCCTTGTGATATGTCAGCATTGGTGCCTTTATTAAACTCTCAAAGGCTTTGTGATAGTAATGGCTCAGTCCCAGCTGGTGTTTGTCTTGCAGCCTGCTGACTTCATGAATGTATGAATGCTGTGCTAAAGCAATGAGATGCCTTCTCCCCTGCATCAGATCAGCTGAGTTGTAGCGTCAGCCATGTCAGTCTATGAATAAGGTCGTTCTGAGGAGCAGGAATGACTCACACCAAGAAATGCTTCAGGAAAGTGCACAGAAGAAACCAAGGCGCTCTCATTCATGTGCCGTAAGAAGGTAGACAAGGTCTGCTTCTTCACATATCATTGTACAGATGTAATTTTAATTAAAAAACACAGAGAAACACTAGGTTCTGTTCCTGTTGCCTACTCAAGAACATAGCTCTTACTTCTCACTTTGAAGATTGCTTGCTAATTAAACAGCTATAATAAGGCCAAGTTGTACCTTTTTTTTAACAATTCAATCTGCCTGTCCCCACTGACGCTTATAATTCCCCTCACCTTCATCATGCTGTTATATTACGTACTCATGGTGAACTGTCTAAGATGAAGTTTGGATGTAGCTAATTTTTTTATTTGATTTGGTTGATGAGGAGAGCTAATTTGATTTCACACAGCTGAAATCTGGAAAGATCTTCTCTGATTGATTGCTCACAGTATGTTATGTAACCACTGACTCCAGTAAACTGTAGGCCATGGGTCCACTGGTGGGCCCAAAGTTTTATTACACACTTCTATAACCTAAGAAAATCTACATTAGTTTGCATTGAAGTCTCTGTAGTTAATGAATAATAAGCCATTGTATGTAATAAGCCTGTTTATGCCATGTTAAGGGGTTAACTAAGAAATCCATGAACCGACTTAAGTGAGTTTTTTGTCTTTGTTGACAACCATATTCTTTTGTACCTTTTTTTTCTTTGATGCTCTATTATTATTGAATTCTCATACTGAATTCCCTTGTTTGGTGTGAGCCATCATAAAAACACATTCCCACCAGCAGCAAACTGAACCATTTCTGAACTTATGTCTGGCAGAGCATGGTTCATTTGTTAAGTGCGTACCCTAGTACGGGTGGAGTGCTCACACCTGTCAGAATCGACCTGAACAAAAGTTTGATTTGTCTGCACTGAACAAAGTAGGTGTGAAAGAACCCTAAAAGACTGGCGTAAACAAATTCCATGGACCAGTAATGGACAGGGGGTTCCAAGGTCCCCAGTCTCTACTCTCTAAACTTTGTTCTTGCTGGCATTTGGTTTATTACCAAATGCATCTTTTTTAATTGTAATAAAAAAATGAATAGAATTTAAGGTCTCACTTCATTTGGATAGTCCTTTATAGTCCCCTATAGATTATCTACACACACACACATCATCTAAACCGCTTATCCTTCTGGGTCGAGGGGGGCCCACTGGAGCCTATCCCAGCTGTCATTGGGCATAAGGCAGGATACACCCTGGACAGGTCGCCAGTCGATCGCAAGGCAGACAGACAGACCTACACATTCATAGATTATCTACAGATGTTCGAATTGTTAAACTATTGGTTGAAACTCCGAGTTGATTCCGAGCAGTGGTGGGGTTAGGGTTAGGTCTAGGACCAGGGTTGGGTTTAGGTTTCGGGTTGAGGTTAAGGTTAGGGTTAGGATCAGAGCCAGGTTTAGAGTTAAAGAAAATGATGGTCAATTTAGTAGATATTTACTTGAATGTAACTTGGTAGTAAATTAAGTATCTACAAAGCAACTAAAGTGGACTATCCAAATAAAGTGTTACCAAATGAATGAAACAAATTACATGTTTTGTTGAATTTCTAAGTGAGAATACATACACATCCCCTACAGGGAATAAACTACTACTACTAAATCAACGATAACTGTTATTTGCTGGATCTAATATATTGGAAAATAATAAAATAACATTTCAAGTGTGGCCTGTACAAAAGTTCTGGCACATTTTATATTTCAAGTTTTTTATTTCCGACATGTTAAACTCAACAAATAAATAAAAACTGTGTAGTAACTTATTTTCATGTAGAGAATCAGCAGAACATGTGATTTGACCGGGGTGGCCATCCGTTTGCATACTACTGTAGTTCATATTTTTCACATTTTCTTGTCAGAAGCTGGACAGTGTACATGTCCACATGTACACTGAGCAACCTAGAACACCTACAAGAGATAAACTTAAAGCGAAATTAGTGATTTGTTGTCTGTTAGTCTGAAAGTATGATCAGACTCCTGGCCACAGATGGCTGGGGCATCGCAAAGGATCTAACTCGCAATCTCACTAAAAGAGCCCATTGTTGAGACATTTTGCAACGTTAATTTTTTTTAACTTTACAGTTGTTTCATTGTTAAAAAATGAACCAATTCTACGTACCTCAGTGCTGGATATGTTGCAGACTTTGAAGGACTCCCCAGAAGTTAATATGGTGAAGTCAAAACGAATTTTCCCTGTACACGCAAACGCTGTGGATTGAAGATAATTGGCTCGATGCCTCTAGTTGCGTTGAATGAGTTCACATAATAGATGTGTGAGTGCATATTCTTGGCTTATGCTCTTGTCTTTGGGGTCTTTCTTTGAAGTCAGTAGGCATAAACAAACATGAAGACTCAGTGAGCGTCTAATGAAAGAAGAGCAAAAGTAATTAGGATGCTTGAAGAAAAGAAGGACTCAGTATTTTAAAAGCAATAAACCACTGGTTTCGGTAATGACCTGGTTGACTGCGAGAAGCAGCTGCTGTTTATAAGTAAAAAATGAGGGAAGAAAAATCTATCAGTTCTAAAAGTATTTAGAATTAGAACAGCATGAGTAGCAACTTGTGCATTCTGTATATATTCTTTATGTATCTTTTCATTAAGAAATCCATGAGTAGGCATCTAATGTGAGTTGAAAGTCAGAGAGTTGTTTGTATCTCTCACAACTCAAATGCAGCTAACAAGGTACAGAAATGTAGCAGCAGCTGAAGAGGACAGCTTTTTTTGGTTATATGGGAACCTAAACCTCATGGAAGAAATGGCAGATGGTTTCAAATATTTTTTGTTGTTGTAGATCCCTGCTGAATTAAAAAATAGCATTGGATCTGGAACTGGACATCATAGTGCTGAGCAGTAAATTCCATTGAATTCCACTGAGTTTTATTTTGTAGGTTTAACCCATCGTAGACAATTCGCTTCAGTTTTTAATCCACTATTGAGTAACCTTGATTTCCATGTTCATGACATGTTCAGGCATCACCATCCTTCCCAAACCAGTTGTTTGAGGAGAGAATGCAAGTTTGACATACAGATACTGTTCAGTCATTAGTTTATTGACACGCGAAGAGACAAAGTAGTGTGATGGGGATTACTGCTGTCAGTCACGTTTTATTCTCAATTGTGTTCATACTGGAAAGCAAACAATAAGATTTTATTCCACTTAATACCACAATGAAAGTGAGGAACTTGAGATAATAAGTATTGACACAACATATTCAACCACCTTTTTGGTTAGGTTAACACAGAGGTATGGACTTGTGTAGTAAAGAGCATGTGCCAGTGATGTGACATTTGGGTACACACTAAAAATAAAATGAAGATTTCTAAATTGTTCTTAGCTTGGATATACGGTTGTAAACAACTTAAATTGGTGTAGAACCTTTACCTCATGTGGTGGTTCTTTTAACTCACAAACAAAAGCATAAAGAAACAGGATCTTTTATGGAACCCAAAGTTGTTCTTTTGTGGTGTCGCTTTAAGGAACCCCTTTTGGCCCAAGTAAAAGCAAGGTATTTTTGAGCGTTTATTGAACATTTGTATGATTCTGTTAATTATTATGTGATGTCACACCATGCATTGAGCACTTAAAGAGAAAGTGCTGTTCCTGTCAACCTCGAGGAACGTCAGTGACAATTAAGCAAATAATGTCAAGCAAGCAGTTACATGTAAAATAAATATATAATACATAAT